ATGTTTTCGTTGATAAAAATTGAGAAAGATGTAGAGTACTTGCATCTGGATTAATTTTAGCGCAAATAATTTATTTTTATCACTAAACTTCATTTTACACCCCCGAATCCACTTCAACTGACAGACTTTAGTCTCCACTGTGGCCAGTCTCAAAATGGAATCGCCAGAAACCGAAAGACCCTGGGATCGACTTCATCATTTTCGTCACAGAACTATCACCCATTCTTTCTCTGATTGGTTAAAAACTAATCGCCATGGCAACATTTCGTCAATAAACTATTTTAAGCATGCTCTGATTTATTTTCGTAGTTTTTCACGATGTTACCAAAGTTTTACAATAACCACTAATGAGCCGGCATAACTTAGAAGATTCTGAGAATCCCTAACTAGCACGAAAACAGGCTGACCACAATCTTGACTTCCCAGTCCTTTCCACGTTTCCTTGAACTTAAAAGCTAATTTATAGAGACAAGCAAAGAAATTTGTTGAATAAACTTTCCATGTATTGATCGCTGTTTCGCACAACCAATCTCTTGTCAGTTGATCAATACTGAGAAAATGACGTTTACAATGCCATGGTGTGGTCTCCAAGTGTACATAAAATTGACCGCATGGTTATTTTTCTCATTTTTATCAAGGGAAAGCGAACTTACGGAGCAACTCTGGTCACAACCTATTGCCTTGGAGTATGATTAGGTTGAGTTTTAGTTGCGTTTTCTTTCTGGCCGCTGTAATTTGTATCGCAGCAGATGACATAAATGGGGAGAAAAATAGCGAAGCTGTAATTCACCAGGAAAACCTCATGGAAGAGAAAGACATCAAACAGAACCGACTGGCGAACGTTCTTGAGGATTTGCGATCTTTAGATCACCACGACTTGAAGAAAGTGCGCAGGATTTTAATAAAACAGCGAATCCTAAAGAAGCTTAACAAGGCGTTAAGGAAGGAGTCAGGCAAAGGTATTTTGATGAATTTGGCTGCTGCCGATGTGAACAACATTGGAGAAAATGGAGAGCTAACTATACATCAGCTGAAGCGACTCTTGGCCCATAGTAAAAAGGCTTCCTCAGAGAAATTAGAAATGGGGTTTCACAAAGCAGACATCAAACAGGAAATGAAGCTTCCTCGAAGTCCTAACCACGATTCAGTTGAGAAGAAAACAGAGGATGTTAAAGCTGAGGGAATATCTGAAAATTCGGAAACAGAGAAATAAGTTTTTTAAGAGGTACAGGTGTAAAGTGAAGTACGGACTAGTGGGAATAAATGAACTTATTAATGGCAAGTTGGAATCAAATCGAAGTGAAACGAACTGATACAATGGTACTTGTCAGCAACAATATCTTATAACCGCCATACGATACCACAAGCCGAAGGGGTTCTAAAATTAAAAGTAATTATAAGTGCTAATGAAAAAGTTACAGTTGAAGTACTTTCCCACTTTCATCTGCTACAGTAAAACAGCAGTAAAAACCCACAAGGCAGGTAAGAACCTGCATTTTCCCAAGTTAGCCGAAACAGGTTCTTCCATAAATGGTAATTAGCACAAATTTAGGCTTTGTAGGTTCGTTAATAAGTTCTTATTTTCTGGAGAAGAAATACACTGCTTCGAAGCTAATAAGGGTAATTAGTGGTATTCAGCTTATTCCTTATATAAAGTTTGCATATCATTACAATGCAGTTGGGAGTGATGAGACACCTCAGTATGTCTCCAAAGAGGATTCTTTATGTTGACTTATCTTATTTGCCCAAAAATACAGTTTTTTTTAACTTTTGTTTTGTAGGTTAAAAAAAAAATAAGAACCTTTTTCACATTTAAGGCTAAACAGGCTTGCATAAAGGGACCCTAACTGGCAAATCTTGGCCTAACAGGTTTTTAAAAACCAGGTTCTTAGTTGCTGGTTTTTACTGTAGCGGCTGAGTCAAATACTAGTTGAGTGTAAGGTTTTTCTATTTGTTAGATTTCTTAAGCGCGACAGATATTTCAGTCAAAGTGTACTTTCAGAAATGTTCTAATATCAGGCACTATTTTTCAAAGGGATTTTTTCTCTCACATCCGGCCGCATCTTGGTCACGCGAATGCTGAGAGTAATGCTGTAAGACTAAACTCTGTTTATTATCCAACTTACTCAGTTCCGTGTTTCATTTTACGACTTTTACCACTGCCAGCTTTGTTTGATTCACTTTTAGTAACATCAATGTTGACCTATCTTATACGTGGTTATGATTTTTGTCTTCCCAATTACAACCGGTTTATTTTAAACCGTTTACAATATCGCATCATTCTTTCTGATTCGTTTTCGACCGCTTATGGTTGCAAGAGGGGTAGACAGGGGTAGTATAGGGGCCTTTAACAAACGGTATGTGGTTGGAGAGGAATAATAAAAATGATACAATGTAACTCAGGCTTTGTTCACAGCTTTTGCGACAGCACGACAACCATACCGGATCAGTAGGGCTTCTGTTCACACGTAAGAACAGTGACTTCTGCGTGTTTCTGTAACGCGGGTTTTTACTCTTAATGGTAGTCTTAATTTCATATTTTGCACGCATTGCCCGGCCCCGCCTCGCATAGCCTTGCTAGCTGCGGGCAATGCTTCTGTCATATTATCAGTTTATTAATTAAGTTTGTTGTTGTTGTTGTTGTTGAGCCGTGCCGATTTCTTAAGTTGAGAGTCATATATCGAATAGGTGGTCATAATATATCGGATAGCTTTTTGTGTATAGTGTGAATATAGCAGGGGCGGATCCAGGAATTTTTCTTAGAAGGGGGTGCACCACAAAGGAAAAGCGTAACTCACTGGTAATTAAAAACAAATTTTAAAAGCAAATAATAAGAAGGCTTTTGACTAGGCAATAACATAATGTGAACTGCTGAGAATACATATCATACATATCTGCATATTTTGGGGGAATACCAGTTGTCAGGAGCTCTCACAGGGGGAGGGGTGCGTACCCCCTGCACCCTCCCCCTAGAACCGGCCCTGCATAGCCTTAGGCTCCACCACTGTTCCACCATTGCGGGGAAAAAATAAGGACCCAGTTAAGATATGAGGATGGCGAAAGCAGCGAAAAGGTCGCTTAAAGTACGGAGAAACAGGCAACAAAGGGCAACTTTTGTCTTGCAACATTGCTGCAAAACGAGTCGAATAGCGATGTTGTGCGTTTTACCACCCACATCAAACCCGTCTTGCAACAAATCAGGTTGTTAACAGGTTTGATCGTGGGTGGTAAAACGTGCAACATCGCTATTCAACTCGTTTTGCAGCAATGTTGCACGTTTTTTGTCGCCCGTTTTTCTGTACCTTTAAGGCTACGTTTACTTGACATCAAACGCACATTCCGCCGGTTAATAATTGGTCCGTTTAGATGTTCCGCTCACACGGAACAACCCTAACCGTACGAACGCCAAAACCGTGGACAATTTTTTAGCCGGTGCGGTCGAACTTTTCACCGAAGCGGTGTCAAAACCACGACCGTCCAAATTTTTCAACGACAACGTCGTGGTTGCATGAACGCGTGGTTACTCAGCTGGAAGACACAATTTTGGTTTTGTGTTGTTTTTGTGTGCGCAAATAAGACAAATAGTGTTCTTGGATTCATTAGGCGAACGGTGGGTCCTAAAAATCCTCAGTTGTTTTCAAAACTTTACAAGAGTCTAGTACGTCCGATACTCGAGTACTGCTCTCCAGTTTGGTGTCCGCACCTTAAAAAAGGCTTAAACACCTTGGAGAAAGTACAACGTAGAGCATCTAAATGCGCCCTTGGAAATATTGGGCAAGACATGCCTTACGAAGAACGCCTAAAGCTCCTTAAATGGCCATCACTTGAACAAAGAAGATTATTTTCGTCGCTTATCGAGTGTTATAAGACAATAAATAGACTTAATGGACTTGATCCCTCGGCATTTTTCACATTTGCACATGATTTTCGGCCCTTAAGAGCCAACCATCGTTTTAAACTTAAGCTTACATCAGCAACTTTAAATAGTTTTAAACATTCTTTTTTTATACGCATAATAGATAAGTGGAACAATCTTCCAAAGGAAGTTGCTGAGGCGGAGAATTTGAATATTTTCAAGAACAGACTGAGACGTTACCTTACAGATTTTCCTAGTGAACACTAAGTTCTTTAACTATGTGATGTTTTATATACATATATAGTTACTATTTTAAACAGTTGTAAATAATTTATTTCTTAATGTATTTTATTATCAGGAGATAAACTAGAAAGGGATAACCTCTTTTATCTCCTTTTCACTTTCCGATTTGGATTTGTGAATAAACAGTTATTATTATTGTCAAAGTAGAGCTCTGACAAGTTCCGTGAGAACAGAGCGCAAAATAATAATGAAGAGTTCCGTGTGAACGAAGTGTTCGGTCAAATTCTTCAACCGCTCGAAAATCTCCGTTTTCAAAAAGTATCAGTATACGTGTGGACGAGGCCTTAAGCGCGTGGAAACTTGCGCACAGAAGGGTGTAAAGCGTACGAAAACGAGGCAACGCAAGAGTGTACAGCGCGCAAAAACTGGGCAAGAGGTGCATCTACAGGGAGCACAAGGCCTCCCATGTCATGTCTCACCACTCTAACGAAATATTCAGCAGCAAAACAGTTGGTTTTCGTCAAAGAAAATGTTTATTTTACTTTGTGATGTAAAGGCTATTTTCCTAAACTACAGAAAACAGGAAAACTTAAGTTTTGGTAATTCTTTCGTTTCGACAGTTCGAAAAATCAGCAATATAAATAGTTTAATACCAAATCTGAAAAAAAAGACCATTTTTCCAAAGCAGTTGATCAAAACTAGCACTGACTTTTCACGAAGTAAAAATTGCCCGAACACATCAAGTTTTCAATGGCTATTATTACTTAGGTTGTCACGGCAAACAATGCAACAAGTTCGTGTACACACTTTCTATCAAAATGCCTACAATAAAGAGTGGTTTTATCTTGAGCATCGACAGCATTGCCAGGCAATGCTTTGTGATTGGCAGAAAATTTTCGCGCTAATTTGTCAACCAATCAAAAGCTTAATCATAATCAAACCCGAGTAGCTCAAAAGAATTCTCCCGCGCGTGGCCTCCGCTTCATTGGTTTGCTTCGAAAGGTGATTGGTTCATTTGACTGGGAGCTAGTGCTATGATTGGCCGAATTACGTCACACAATTTAAAACCACTCTACGGACTCCAGCTTGATTCTACGTATGAACATCAAACTAGAAATAATAAGTACAATTGCATTGTCTTCAAAATAATGAAGATGCAACGTGCGAGCTTTTTCGAGAAACAGAGGAGTATTATCTAAGTGCTGAAACTAACCTACTTGAAATGAAAACTTTTAAAGAAACGAGATCTTGAGTTTCTTCTCTCTTCTGGTCCGCGTTTCGATGTCCGTCCAGATTACACAGGAGAGCTGGATCGAGAACGGCTCTTGGGGGAAGAAGTCGCCGTTTTGTCGCGTTCTTCATCTTTCTCACGTGACCTGTGAATGACATATGAGGAATGAGGTGTCTAGATTACCATTACCGCGCACTATGGCCGCAATATATACTATACACCAAGAGGGGAGGGGGTGTGCGTTATAATACTAGAAGAATATTATCCTCTTTTCAGTTATTACAAGCCACACGACACGAAAGAAGGATATAATGATAAGGATACTTCTTTTGCGTAACTTCTTGTGTATAGTTTAAAGAACACGTGAGCCATCCAAGTTTTCTAACGCTTTTTCATTCATGAGCTGACTTTTCCAATCTTATGACTATCCTTGAATGAAGAACTGCCAAAATTTTTACGACTGTGAAAGTTTTAGCTTAAGCTCTCAGCAGCGTTTGGATGTGTGGATAAAATCTCTCAGTATGAAAAACTACGAGCTGCAATTTATTAACACTGATCATTTGAATGATCAAATTCAAAAGAAAAACATTTAAAAACCGCTTTTAACTGCTGTCGTTCTAAGTTATTAGCCTGCTTTAACGCCAAAAGAAGAGTTTAGTTGACGGATAGACAAAAAAAGGGATGAAAATATTCAGTTGAGGAGAAACACTTATTTCAAATTTATCATAAGGCGAAGGAGGAGCAATCTCTGGAGGAATTACAGCTAGTAGCATATAATAAATGCATACACAAAGTAATAAACTGCTAATGAATCATGATCAAAGATTACCAAAGAACCATCACATTAGCTTGCATTGCAGGCATTTCTCCGTAGTCTGGGTAGTACAAGCACTACAATGAATCCGAGTAAAGGAGGCAGAGATAGACATGGTGGAAACACGAGAATAATTTTTCCCCTCCCCCACTCTCACATTTCGCCGCGTTTTTGGGCTTCTATGTGCCTAATCAACTGTTCCCAGTTTTACTGATCACCCCTAATATGACTCTGCTTGCAAAATCAAAGATGGTGGCTATAAATACGAACTACTCAGCGCTCACACGCCTGCAATGCTGGTTTCAATCACATGGACGTTTACAGCTGATAAAAACGCATGGCATATGGGACGAGGAGACATTTACTCCTCAGGCCCTCACACAACCAAACAAATGAGGTTGATGATCCTAGCCACTATACATCATGATCTCAAATACCTGAGTGAATACCTCTTACAAGAAGACGGCTTTAAGCCGGTTACTTGTCTGGCTGTTCCGTAGCAGAGAAGAGCCAATGAACCGATTGATCTCCTTGATAACCAGATATTAACTGAAAACTCACTGTAAACGTAAGTGGGTTTAATACGATCAACTGAAGCCTGACCAAAATCGACACAGAAATGACTGGGTACCTTCACTTCCGGTGCACGCTGACTTCCGCTGTACACGCTAGTCTGACTTCCGGTGCGTACTGGTGCTACTGCGCAGAATCCTCATTTCTTGGTGAATTGAAACGTTTTTGACTTACAGACAAAGAAAGTTTTGTTTCGATGCCAAGTCGACTTGAGCAAAGGAACAACAGCTTTGTGAACAGGATCTAGGCCGCCAACGTTGCATTTTGATATCGCTCGAGTAGGAAACAAAAGCGACTAACAATTCTTAATTGTTATTATATTTTAAAATCAGAAAGATTACCTTGAATTTGCCTACGAGACGGATCAGCAAATATCATCTTGATTGAGACAAAATTCAAAACAAAAATCAAAGAAAACAATTTTGTAAGTGTACCTTGTTTAAGTTTCCAGCTATAAGGAACTCTTTGCCCGGCTCGTGCGTCTGTTGACGTGGCTTTGCATAAAATAATGAATTTAACAGATTCAAAGTACAATTGAATTCAAAACAGAATGAGGTACCTTGATTTGTTCTGTTCCGCTCTGAAGTATCTTTCAAAGCACTGATAATCTGTTAGCGGCAGGATCCAGGATGTCTTGCGGTGCGCTGATTGCAAACACAGCTCATTGTATGCTCACAGTGAGATTATTACTTTCCCCAAGATATCAACCAACAACAACTTCGTTACTAAAACCTTACTTAAAGAAACCTACACACCTACAAATATAATTACTTCCTGACGAGTCCAATAATTCCCGTACTACCCACCCCACGAGTCAATAGTGCACTCACCTGCTGCGGGATCTGGACTTATCTTTCTCCTCCTTATCAGCCAAGCCGTCTCTTTTATCAGCCATTTCCTCGTCAGGAGCCTCTCTTTTCCTTTCCTCTCCATCGTCTTTGCTTGTCTGCTTCTCTTCGTCCTTTGCATCATCTCTGTCTTTCTCGCGCTTGTCGTCTTTCTCTTCCTTGTCGCGTCGCCTTTCCTTCTCCTTCGACCTTTCACGATCCCGGTCGCGATCTCGATCGCGATCCTTGTCACGCCGACGGTCTCTATCACGATCACGATCACGATCACGATCGCGATCCCGTTCACGGCTCCGGTCACGACTCCTGTCACGGTACTTGTCACGATCACGGTCACGATCCCTGTCACGATCACGCTTACGATCACGATCTCTGTCACGATTCCGATCCCTTTCACGATCCCGATCCTTATCACGATCACGCTCCCTGTCTCGATCCCGGTCTCTCCTTCGGTCACGGTCCCTATCGCGGTCACGATCTCTGTCACGGTCCTTATCACGGTCCTTCTCACGGTCTCTCCTGCGATCACGGTCACGGTCGCGGCTGCGCTCTCGATCTCTGTCAGGTCTTTTTTCACGATCTTGATCACCTCCCTCCTCCTTGTCTTTAGGCTTTTCTTCACTACGCTGGGATGGCTGATCTCTCGCTTTCTAAAAGAAAAATGAAAGTCAAAGCTAAGAAACCTGTCGAGTTGAAAATTTGCCACCAAAAGGGCAAAAGCTGAGGATCGATTGTAACCTCGTTCCAGCTTTAGCTCCCTTAGTTTTAAGTTTAAATTTACAATAAATGTAATACATGGATTTAGCTAGAGATAAAAGCGAAGCTCCCGTTTATGCATTTTAAATTTACACTTGAGCCTGCGATCAATTAAAAGCGGAAAACGTAAAGAAAACACGTGACCTCTATGAGTTGGCACCTGGGCCCGCGATACGGTCATGTGACCCTGATCAGCGGATAGCCTGTTTTGACAGCTGTCAATTGACCATAATAGGAATGTCTATTATCAGGATTCACACAGGTTACAGGCTTCCACACTAGCTAGAAAGTTAAACATTTCACATTGGTTACCCTGTGGTGCGGACGGACGGACGTGCTTACGACTACAGTCATGTGATTACCAAATTTTTTCGGATGGATAGATTAGCAAACTTTCTTAGGTATGGGGCTCCGGTCGTGCGCGCGGAACTCCCCTATAAAAACGTCTTATTCTGAGACATGCAATGTTCTCTAGTCATTGATGAAATCGTATAGTGTAACCAAGAAATGAAAGCTTCTGAGCAGTACTTCCTGTGGTACTGTTTAGTACGCTGTACAAGGTGGTTCTAACTTTTGAGTCTGTGGATGAAATCCTATGGGGTGGTTATATAAATGAAAGCTATTGAGCAGTGTTTTGCTGTGGTACTGTTTATCATGCTGCACAAGGTGGTTTTAACTTTTGAGTCTGTGGATGAAATCCTGAAGTCCAACCATTCAAAAGAAAACTACTAAGCAGTACTTTCCTCTGGTATTAGTACGCTGTACAAGGCAGGTCTAACTTTTGAGTCTGTGGATGAAAATTTTCTACTCTGGAATTGTTTATTATGCTGTACAAGGTGGTAGTAAAGCTAGTCTGTAGAGGAATTCTTTGCTGATACCATTCAAATGAAGCCTCCTCAGCTGCAGTACTTAAAAATGATATTATTTGTTTTTCAGTACTTTAATAAAACAATTTCTTCCCTTGCAGCCGGATTATTGGTGTGAAGGGTTAAAATTCACATTCCACACAGCCCTTACTTTGAGCTCCTCAATTGTGCTCTTGATCTTCGCATAACCCATATGTTGTTTTCCCTGTAGATGATCGTCCACTCGTGTTTGTGCATCACCAATGATAAGAAAAGCTCCACATACTTCGCAAACTTCCATCTGTTTCTCTTGTGCAGTCATTAAGTTAAGATCACGAGATTGCTGCAATAGTTAGATCGCATAAAAAGTTACAGCTTTCCCACGAGTCCATCATTACAAACACTTTAACACTGGTCCCGAGGGAAACAATTAATTTTGTTTCCCAAGAAATTCAATGTTTCCCGCGGCTCCGCCTCGAGAAACATGGAGATTCTAGGGAAACAACATTAACTGTTTCCCTCGGGACCAGTCTTTAAGTAATTTGTTATACAGCTGGAAAATTTTGAAGCTACAATAGATTTTGAAATGGTCCCCTCTCAGAGATTTTGGCGGGAAACAGTTTCATTGTTAGATGTCATGTGACCTAGAAGTAACCAATGAAAGCGCATGCTGATGGGAAAAAATTTCCAGCTATATAACAATGTATTCTGTGCACCGACATGTACAAGACTAACCCGCAACTTAGGGAATTCCGTCAGTTGCATCTAGGCATGTACCAGTGTGTAAAGAAAGTCAGTTTACAGCAAGCATGTCCTAGCCCAAGAGTTATCCAACTGGCCAGAAACTATTAGTTAATTTATACTTGCAGTATTAATTCACTGTGATAATTACTGTGATAATTTTACTTTCTCAGATCAGATTGGATAATAGCAGGGAGCTTTCAATCCACATAGATTTATCTTTTATTTACACGATTTCTGTCATTTGAATTGTCACAACAACTTTATGAATCCACTAGCCCAATAGCAAAATCCACCAGCCCTGGGATATCAGACACAGCTTTCTGTGTACCCTGGTGTAAACGTCACCAGGGTACACAGAAAGCTGTGTCTGATATCCCAGGGCTGGAGGATTTTGCTATTGGGCTAGTGGATTCATAAAGTTGTTGTGGCAATTCAAATGACAGAAATCGTGTAAATAAAAGATAAAAAAAAACGTCACCAGAAAACGTGTTCTAGTTGCGTGAAAACATGACGTTTTACCACCAAACATTTGATGTTCGGGGTAGGGGGGTGTTACACGAACGTTCATGAGCAAAGTACATTGTACATCATGTAGGCAGCTGTTTGTTGGCTTGAAGCGTCTGACATGATTTTTTTCGACTGAATGAATTTGAAAAAGGAGTTGAACAATGTGGGAGACTTTAAGCACTGTAGGCAATGTTCTACTCAAGAACCAGGCCTTGTGTTTGAAAGTAAGGGAAGAATGCAAAGTCTTTCATTTGAAAACAAAATAATTTATGAAAAAATTATTCTCATTCAAATATAAGTCATTTTCGTATTATCCTTTTTATTTTACTTACTTCTCTGTTAGAGAATTCTCAAGAGGGTAAACCCCTTTAAAGGCAGAAAGTAAGAGCAGGTGTGGAAAATGCCTACACATGTAGCTAAGATAAATTCTCCACAATTTATTACATGTAGTGCTCCAAGCAGAACTACAATGTACAATCAAAGAAACCTTTTGACAGCCATAAAATAAACTAACCATTGGCCAGCAGAAAAAAAAGACACTTAGAACAATATTTCATGAGTGGATGGAAAGAAATTTCAAAAATTGCTACCAAACTATTTCAATCAAAATTAATTTGGAGGTGCACATCACATCTCAAGGCTTAATATCCAGACAGCCAGGGTGAAAGAGGTGAATTAAAAATAAAATAATGGAGCATACAGTAAACGTCATGGAAATGTTTCATGAACCCACTTAACTTAGGCCAGCATGAAAACTATAATAGATGGGGCTTCTCACACAAAAGAACGATGATTTCAGCACAATTTCTGTAACGGAGCAAGGCTGCACCAAGCAGATCTCTAAAGTGGAGAGTCACCTATCGGATAGGTTTTCATATGGTGTTCTCAACAGAATTTTGTGATTTGTGACCAAATGACCCCAGGCCTTGAAGTTTCTGGGCTATTTAAACCAAAGAATGGTTAACTGAATAATTTATTGTTCTATGTATTGTAGTCATACTCTAGATAACAACAATTGAAAATATTTTAAACAAACTCATAGTCCTGCACAGAGCAGGAAAAAATTTGATTGCCTATTTACAACGAAAGTAAGCCTATTAATTATTTTACTACAGTTCTTCGCCCTGAGGGACCAAGGACTTTTTGAGTGCGTCATTTCGCTAAAAAGTCAGTGAATCCCGCAATGGCGTAGTCTGGTGAGGACTCTGTTTACACTATACCAGATAGCTTTCCCTGTCAGCACAAAAAGCTATAGTGTGAACACAGCCTTAGAGAGACCCAATGATAAAATAATAAGAACTAAGAAAAACACCACTGCTTAACACCTTACTGCAGAAACTATATTGCCAAACTGGCAACTTTCACTGCCAGGGTTGTCACTAAGATTTCAAGTTGCTAGGTAAATACAACAAGTAGGCGGGGGAATCACACGGCTAGGGATGGTTCTATTTTTCCTCTATTTTCCAATAAAAGTAGCCGGGGGCCACTCCCTTAGTAGCCGGGGAAAATCTCCAGGCGCCGGCTCTTAATGACAACCCTGACTGCAATTTTAGCTGCCAAAATTAATTTTTTCCTACTCACCACAGCATCAGGGAACACAATATTGGCAGCTTGGAATACTGAAATGGGATTTAAACAACTCCTAACTAACAACTGCAAAAGACAAAAATTGATAATTATGTATTCTTCTTACCAGCTGTAGCATTTCCCGTTCACTTTTGAGCTGATCACACAATTTCATAACTCCCTGGGCTTCTTCTACTTTTCCTTCACAGCCCAGTTGCTCAACCTTCAATGTGAGAACAAATTATTTATGACAGAAATAATCAGTTTTCTGCCAAAGAGCATGCAGGTAGTTACCTGTAACACTGGAAGAACCATGAAACTGAAAATCACATGTACACACATGTACACACATGTACAACAAGGAAACATACAATAATAAGGTAAATTGATATACAAGTAGCACACAACACAATCATGGCCTAATGTGCATGTACCAACTAGCATGACCAGTGTGATGACAACGATGATGATAAAATAAACAACCACACTTAGCAACAGTGAAAAAGGATTTAACCTTCACAAAATTATTTGTAATCTTAAAATACATTTTGTTGTTGTACATGTATATTAAAAATTTTGTATTCTCTAACCTGCTCTAGCAATGCATTGATCTTTTCTGTAAGCATTTTAACTTTTTCACTGTCTGGTTTACCACTTGCAAGTTCCTGTGGAAAAACAAATAGATGTAGAAAAAGAGTGCAGCTTACATGCACATTACTACTAGGGTTTGAGAGACAAGCAATAAACTCTTACCGAAACATGTGGACCATTCAGAGATACGTGTGACAGCTGATTTTGGTGCCAGAGGTTAATGATTTGAGTCAGGTGACTTTGTTTGTCAAACCAAAAAGGTGAACTCACGTGGTCACATTCCTGAGTGTTTGGTAGGCCACAGATAGGCAAAGTCAAGTAAAATGCATAAGGGTGATTCCATGCTGCAGACATTACATTCAGATACTAAAATTAACATTTTAAACCCCAATTTAAACGTCAAAATTTTCAGCAAGGGTGTTCAAACATTATCTAGAAAGAAACTTTAGTGTTCCCTTTGTACCTAGTAAAAAGATGTTTTAGTGAACTCTCACGACCTTGAAGATATGAGTTGAGGAAACTGTGTTTCGGACATTACATTTTTAAACAACCACTTTTTAACATAACTTTCTTTAACGATATTTTCCTGTGAATTTTTAATTTTGAGCAGAAAATAATTGTGCCTTCAAAACATGGCGATAATAATTAAATTTTTAACCATCAAAAAAAAAAATTCCATGCAACCTCGTTCCAATGATTCTACAAACAAAAGTTGTGTTGTGGACATTACACAAAAATGTTGCGGACACTACATTTTTGGGAACACATTTTTTATCATTCAATTTCTAGTCAGTGTTGCTCACTGTGGCTATGTCAATTTTTTCTGTAGTTACTTGACTAAAAATAAAGCTGTGAAATTATTATTTACTTTATTTAATATGTTCTATTATAATATTATATAATCTCCTGCTGACCTAGTATCATGCAATACCAGTCAGATTTTTTTTGCAATACTGACTCCTTAAAATGATTTCAAAATTAATTTTATTACATCTCAAGTAAAATAATGTTGTGAGAAAAAAAAACCCTCAGTAGTGAGGAGATTATTTTGTTTTTTCCGAAACTGATTTAGCTTAACTAAAATTATCAGTTTCTTGTCATTCAGTCTGACTTAAATACAGATAAAATGTAAATTTGCACTAAAATTGCACATTGTTCACTACATTAAGATTGTTACATTACAAATTCTACTTAAAAATTAATTCTCATTGAAGTGTGAGTAGAAAATCAAAAGAAACAATGATGGTCAGTTGTTTTCCTAAAAAAGCATAGTTACAAACAGTTCTGGGCATGCTCAACAGTACAAAACCCCTGACCAGCTACTCAATTTCTCCTTTTCCAATCCTCTAAATAAAAATTCATTGTAGATGATTGTAAACAAGGTCAATTGTAATGCCCAAGACAAGCACTGAAAGGTCAAGAAAATTTAGAAAAAGCTGAAAGAGGATTCTAAGTTGTATGAAGTCTATAAAACCAATGTGTAATGTCCGCAACGTAATGTCCGCAACACTTTTCAACTTATAATTTCTGAGCAGAGAAAGCCGACCTAGGAAATATTTTGAGATCAAAATAAAGTATACATCACATTAACTGAGCAGCATCAATAGCACATGAAAATACAATGAACTGTGTAGAGGAACTGAAAAAGGTACCTTAATGTTGTGGACATTACGTAATGTCCGCAACACAAATTCAATACCTATTTTCTTAGGAAAGTGCTAGTAGCTAGATATAATAATTTATGGCCTAATGATAGTGTAAGGCAAAGGTTATACACACATACTTTAATGTTTATTGTCATGTTTTCTTAGATGTAAAAACTTTGTTCACAATTTCCTTCCAAAACTTCCAAATAATGATGAGATTCAAATTCTCCGGATTTCATGCCTTCTCACATTAAGCACATGGACAAGATGCACAAGATCTCAGTATTTTCAAACACCCCATTGTCTCAACTTTCTGTTGGTATAAGTTTTATAGCGCAAAATTTTATTTAAAAAAATTCATAATTTCATTGTCTCGCGTGGAATTACCCATAATAATGTTCTCTGTCAACCAAAACGGATGAATTTTCCTTCGTGGAAAGTCAATCAATAAAAGTTCTTTTGCTTTCAGCATTCTAGCAGTATATAAAAACTCTGACCACTCTGATGCATGAACAACAAAGCCAGCAATGAGGAGCGAATGTGACCATGTGAGTTCACCTTTTTGGTTTGACAAACAAAGTCACGTGGCCTCAGTTGTTAATGTCTGGCACCAAAATCAACAATCACGCCTGTCTTTGAATTCACAGTCTAGTAGTATATCAATAAAAAAGGTACAGTTCAAATCTAAAATTTTTTTTCCTTTCCTTCAGCTGTTCGCAGGTAAATGGCACATGGTTTACCACAAAAAACATAAGTACTAATAAGTTAGTTCATAAAATTATGGTGATATTCAGAACTTAAACTCTAGTGTGGTATGTACTAGTTAACAGGAGATTCATGTACAATTTTTAAACATCATAGAGATACATGTATTTTGTGATTTTCAGGAGATATAAATTTTAGGAAATTTTAGAAGATATTCTTTAATAATTTTCAGGCACATATTTAGACCGACTGCTTTTTGAGATACTGTTAACCAAGCCTAAAGATACAGTAAGGCAACCATTTAGCTAGAAGATTATTGCATGTACTGTACACAGTACATAATGGTGACTACAAACCTTCTCTTCTTGATCACGGCTAAGATTCAAGCGAGCATGTCCCCGTCTTATGCGTCTGTCCACATCTGCCATAATGTTTTGGAGATAACGTAGAAAGTCGTCTTCATATCTCATTTTCTTGTATCGAGAGCTCTCCTGGTATCTAATAAAGTACAAAGAATGTTCATTACAAGATGTTCATTAAATTTGTTCATGCAAGGTGATGGTAAACATATTTCATAAATGTCATTCCATATACAGTCAACTCTTGCCTTGCGGACACCCACTTGTTGCGGATGCTCGCTACTACAGACAAAGTCCAGATCCCGGCAAAAGCTATAGGGGTTTGACTGGAGATGACTCCCACTATTATGGACTCTCACTATTACGGAATTAGAGACACTTCCTTGGTACCCAAGTGACAAATTTTATTGTTTTGACTCTCAATAAAGTGGACACGCTGTACTTCTTAAGTAACATCATTACGTAAAATTACAGTCTACTGTTCGTCATTTGCCAAAATACATTTCAAAAGATTTCCAGAATGTTTATTTTCACATCGATTCTTTAAATTGTCTGCACAATCATCCTCCCTTCTTCACATGAGCTTGAGCTTTTTTCCTTCCGACTCTTTAGGAGAGCTCAAGCTCTCATGTTCCATTCTCAACAGCTGCTTAGCAGTTGCAGTACTATTGAGTAGTTCGGCCAGTCTTGGAAGATATTTTGGGTCGCTACATAGCACAAGTAGCACATTTAACACACATCTAAGATTTAAGAAAACTTTATGAATGTAGTTAATGTTATTGCCCCCGCAGGGATTTCGCCCAGAAGGCGAAATCCCGAGGAGGCACTCTAGTAGCTCGTGCATATATTAGGGAAAGTACTTACAGTTGAAATATACAGTCATACAGTCAATAAAGAAAAGATCTCGATTTGCTTGAACAGGGGCCGCAAGGAATCGGTAGGTAATGATGACATTTCTATTGTTTGCGCCCGCAAGTACGAAATGGTTAGGATGACGTAAAGACAGAACATCCCCAAGGGACCGCTGAGGTAGATTTTGTGACACTTTTATCGTGCAGTCATACTTCGACAGTTTTGCGTTACGTGTCATCAGTGACATTCTGTGGAGTAGTAGCCTCCCAGGCAGGCGTTTTGTTTCAGTGAAAGTTATGGACTAAATTTTAACGACACTCATTAAGCGCAGAAGAAGTTATAATGCGTATAACTGTGTATATATAAATACTTGGAGAGTTTGCCAGACAGGAGTTCACAAATCTTTCACTGGAAACCTTGCCAGATGCTCTTTCTCTCTCTTTGACTGGAATAAGACTCAGCCCCAAACAAGTAAGACGAGTGAACAACGGCTAGTTTCTCACTAGCAGAACAATGGACGATTACAGAAATTCGCCGACAATCAAATTCTGTGCTGACTTATTCCCTGCTCACTGATGTCCTTCCGCTATAAAGTTTAAAATAAGACTAGAATGGGCGAGTGTCAATTGATCAAACGTCCTTTTAATTTCTAAGGCTTCCTTTCCGGCAAATAAAATGAACTGAATGTAAAAAGTGAAGAGAAATAGCGAAAAATTCAACCTCTCATTAAATCTTTTCTTATGGTTTAGAATAAACTATTCTCAAAACTGAGAATGTTTTGATCAAAGCTGTGTAAATCAACCTGAAACTGTGCATGGAACATTGCGTTTCCTGTATTTATCTCACCTATTGTATGGAATGTGTGAAAATCTTCCTTATGAATCGGTATTATTTCAAAGAGCTACACAACGAGCAAGAATCCTATTGACCAACAATATACAGAGCGGGGGCAGCTGTAGTGTCAACTATTACTAGTTTATAATATTATTGTATGCTAAAGGCAGGTTTTTTTCCCACACTGCTATAAAGGAAAATAAAACCACGGTTCCGAGGGTGTCAGCAATTACGGGAGTTGACTGTATCTAGCCCAATTTCTGAAACTGCCAAATATAGCTGTACATTGTAGGCCTCTTCTACCAAGCATATTTTTTTTGGCCATAAAAGTAGCCATTAAAACTTAACAGTGCAACCTTCAAAATTACATGTACCCCACGTCTTTGTTTTCCAAAGCAATAAATTTGAGCCAGTGGTAACCTCTTTGTCAGCCAGTGAAATAAGCTGGCAGCCAACTCTTAAAGAAAACCTTGGTCCCCAGTTTTTGAGCCCATGTCCTATCGCTTCTACCCCTTAGAAAGCCTCAAGTTAAGAGAACTACATGCAGACCTGTTGCACTAACAACATACAGTCATATACACTGTATCTTACTTTTTATTAATTTTTCAAAAATTTTTTTACATAGCTCTGAAGAAGAAGGGGAGAGAATTTTGTTTTAAGTGAAGGGACAAGTTAGATCTTTGGTAACAGCATAGATGTAAAAATAAATGGCTGAAATCCAGGTTGAGGCCTTTACAATGTAAACCTGTAAACTCTGTGAATCTTTCCTAATCTCCCATTCCCAGGAACAAACAGGTACATGTACATGCAAAACTACACATGATGACGATGGGAAAGATAAAAATATTCATCATGTTACAGAAAAGAAGTGAAAAAGAAACAACAGATACCCCCAATGAACACTTTTAACCTATGACAGATGCTGGTTAAGTATAACTATAATTTACTATTAAATTCAAATTGAAAGTGTTGAACAATACACAGTGTATATGTTACAGGTACAAATTAAATTAGGGTTAAAATTTTTTAACCTAAGTTGATTCTCAATTTCCTTCGTCTCCTAGCCCTAATTAATGAATAATTAGGGACAGGAGACAAACCTAGGTTAAATAATTAATGCCTGAATTTAATTTATCCTATAACATATGATAATAATTTTATTACAGAGTGTACATCTTTGCACTTACTCCTTTCTAAGTCTTTCATCATGTGCCTTTTCACAAGGCCCTGCAAGATAATACAATGTACATTGTGCCACTCTGTTAGTCAACTTTGCATTCATTTACATGAAATGCACCCACACGTAAAACAGGGCTCGAAATTGCGACTGATATGGTCGCCAATGCGACTAACATTTTCTCCTTGGCGACTAAAAATTCTGGTTTAGTCGCGAAAGTGGCGACCAGATTTTAGAAGAGTAAAATTAAAACAAACATTTCATCTTATCTTGCTTTGCTTTCATCATGAAAAATGTGCCAAAAACGCATAAACAAAGCCACTTTACCTCCAAATTTATACCGACTTCATGATATTCAGTTTTCAAATCTGATGGATCGCACCATACTATGCTGGGCTTCTGATAGGTAGCGGAAAAAGTCAAATTTCACGAGATTTTTAGGGGCAAATTCGCGGAAAAATCGGCCGATTTTGCGGCACTTTCGCGGGAATGTTTGGGCCAAACTTCGCTGGAAATCAATCGGTAAAAAAGGCCGATTTTGTGGTTAGTTTTGAGGGAAAATTTTGTCAGATGTCGATCAGCTTTGCGCCGATCAGACCAGCGTTTTTAACGTTTTTCTAACAGTGGTCATCATTTGCTCTTTCAACAACAATACGCTCCAGAAATGAACTAATGGCAAAGCATTTAACATCATGGCTAGTGCCCAGTTTTTCGCAACATAATTGACGCCTGGTAGTTTCGGGACGTTATTCACACGTTTCAGTGACGAAGTATGAAGATAAATTTGCAAGTTTAGGGCAAGTAAATAGCCCCAATAGCTGAGATAAGTTTCAAATATGTTGTACAGACATGTGTTTGATAAGATTTCTACTGAATTTCGTGGTATTTTGCGAGTTTTTGTGAATTTCGCGGCTCCGCTACTGCTCGAAATATCAAAAGCCCTGTACCTATGAGCTGCGTCATTTACATATTACAAACTGGCGACTAAAAATTCGCATCTGGCGACTACATTTCTCCGGTTGGTCGCCAAAAGGCGACCTGAAGATTTTTTTAATTTCGAGCTCTGTAAAATAATGTTTCCAAAATAATGGTTACCATATTGGCTGAATCCAAGCTGACTGGAATTCTCCACCACACATTGTGACAGTGTAGAATAGGCCAGTTGCACTAAGAGGTCATGTGACATTGTTTTTATGAAAATGAAAGTTATATGATGTTGCCTTCGAAAAACAATTAGTAAGTCATATCTTACACAGAATAATAGTGATTTAGTTTTTCAAACCTGCACCATTTTCTTAAAATGAGTAAGTTCATAGCTGGTCATGTGATCAAACTGTGATTTTTAAAATCATGAATTACCTCTTTCTAAACACAAATTTTGCACTTAAACTTCAAGGAAAATGTTGAAAGGATGATGTGGTAACGTTTACAGCACATCTGAGCGTAACTATCAAAAGTTTAACAAGATACAAGCAAACAGTAGTTTTGGCTGCCATGTTGGAGAGCAAGGTATGCCCTCCCACATGGCGGCCAATACAAACCATAGTGCTACTTTATTGAAAAATCAGAGTGCAATAAAATATCTCCCTTAAATGCATTTCCTCTCAAATTTCGGGTGTAAGATCATTTTTATGTGCTCTGTCAATTTTGGGCATCAGCAAGATTCCAACTCATTGTTTAACGAAAGCATTGGTCATGTGACCTCTTAGTGCAAGTGGCCTATAGGATTTTGTCAGTGATGGTAAGGATAAATGATTGGCAGTAATGGACCTCCAAAGACTATCACCTTAATCCAATGCGAGACAGACTGAATTCTGTCATGCATGCCATATCAGGGCTCGAAATTGCGACTGATGTGGTCGCCAATGCTACTAACATTTTGTTCCTGGCAACTAAAAATTCTGGTTTAGTCGCCACTGTGGCGACAGGATTTCTCTACCATTTAGATTTAAATTAAAAGAGTAAAGTTAAAACAAACAAGTCATTTTATCTTATCTTGCTTTGCTTTCGTCATAAAAAATGTGCCAAATCGCATAAACAAAGCCAGTTTACACTCATATTTATACCGACTTCTGTCCGCAATGTTTCAAACAATTAAATCTGATGGATCACGCCATATTATGAGCTGCGTCATTTACATTATACACACTGGCAACAAAAACTGTGCATCTGGTGACTACATTTCTCCAGTTCTGGCAACCTGAGGGTTTTTTTAATTTCGAGCCTACCATCATTTAGGACTCACTGTTTTGAAGGGTCTACAGTTGGGATAACCTTTTCCCCATATTTTTACTCATGCCAATGTAGTTAATGCTCAAACTTGGGAGGTACCCCCCCCCCCTAAAAAATCCAGTCGAGCCACCTTAACCAAAAAGTACAGTGACGAACCTCTATGAATGTAACGCAGTTACATGTATAATATGACAAAGACCATCGTATAATTAACAATACCCTCAGTCCCAGCGATAGTAACAAATATGGAGTAGAACCTCGGTATAAGGAAGCCTCGTTATAGCGAACATATTTGCCAATTCCTTGGCCCTAAGTTTACAAAAATATTACAAAACGATCGAGCAAGAAAGCTTTCTCCCTAGTAGCAGTAAAAAACTGGCCTTGGTTGAGAGTTATTTGCATACACTTACCCAAATCTGATCTGGTATTTACAAAGAGCTGCGATGGACAGAATCCACAAAGAAAATGTTTGCAAACCTGAAAAGAGAAGAAAGATTTGTCAGCTTATTGAATTTTACCGCTACAGTAGATGGCGTCAACATGTAGTAGGATGAGACAAAACTAATATCGTTTAAACCATGTTAACAAGAAACATACGACATAATAACTACCTGAGGATCGGACCAATGTAATGCAGTCTTTTTTTCGTCGGGGGCTCGATCTCGATCGACCCCCATAAGCTCGTCTAACAACGCCGCCGCCGACAACATCTTCCTTCAAAATTTTATGTGGTGTGCTTCGTGCACGAGTCGAGAAGAAAAACCTTCCCATCAGCATTAGCGCTAGTAACGCGGGAAGACTGGACAAGTTTCCATAAAAGGAACGGAAGAAGTACCCTCAACAAACCCTTGTCTTCACAAAACCGCTAGTCAGCCAAACCTACAGTTTAGGTCATTGTTATCTCGCGTTCCTGCCCATGGTGAAGGAACGCGTGACGAACCCCTAAGAACGTCCGCGGGGGAGGCTACGGAAGAAGTGAACGGAAGGGGTTTTGAGGTGCGGCCATGTAGAAAGTACCGTGATCTTGTTTAACAGATCCTTATCTGGCTCTGATTTTCCCTGCTAGCAGAGGCCTCTTTTTCCCCCTTGTATTCGGTGGGCGGGAGGAAAAGCGTAAAAGAGTCTCTTTTCCTCTCGTCCGCCGATTACCAGGTAAAGAGATCTTGGCTAGCAAGCAAGCACTGGCTGCGCCCTCGTGCGGAACCTTGAATAAATTTAATATCCCCCTATTCTGGGGATATTCTATGAGTGTGGCCTATTATGAATGTGCACGTACCTGAACCAGTTCTGAACCATATAAACTGTAAAAATTTACATAAAAATTATTGCATTTACTGTTGAGTAGAGTATGACTGACGACGACCTCGACAAGGCTCAAAAATGTTTATCGCATCTTGAAGTATAACAGCTGAGCTTCACCCAAGCTAGTTTTCTCCTTCCTCACGTTTCCGACGCGATTCGCCGTCAACGCGATCAGTGCATCAGTTATCAAGTGTTGCTATACTGACTTGTCTGGATACCTAAACTCGGCAGATTGCTTGGTAAGGAAGGGCGCAAGGGCTATGAACAGGCTAGGTGAATTATCAAATAGATATTCTTCTCTCACTTCAATACCCATCAACATGAACGGGGGGTGACAGCTCTAAGAGGGGCTGTTTCGGGAGAAAAACAAATTTATTCCGGGAATCTGGAGATTTTGCCGGGAATCGGGAAACCTGGGAAATTTTTCGAGAAATATGAGATATTTTCGGGACATTGAGCAAAGGTTTGATATTACATGTTATCAAACAATATATATACAGTGATATGCACCCAGTGTATGCGCTGTATTCTATGTGTTTTACACTTGAAAACGGCTGAACTCCCCATGATATGAAAAGACCAATCAGCAACGTTTCCAACTAAAATAGCATGAAGTTCGAGTGCGATTGACCACGTGCAATCCCCAGCGGATTGACACAAGAACCGTACCGGTGCAAGGCACATACTATCAGTTCACACCAGATCCCATCATTCATTAGTTCAGGGGTATTTTTACGCTGCACGTTTACGAGTTTTAAGAGCACATTCCACTGATTGCATACTGGAAAACTTGAAAAAAGTACGTAAGAAGTATGTAAGAAAAAAACGAAAGATAGGGCACTAATTCGAGGTTGGGCGCTTATTCGAATAAATACGGTTCTTAGCTTAAAGTGATATCCAGAGCAATTTCAAAAACCGCATAACTTGTATGAAGTAAAATTGACTACTTCTACGCGAAGTCACGCCAATAAAAATAACCATAAAAAGGACAATTGATTTAGAGAACATTTTGGACAGAATTTGTCCTCTCAGAACACTAGAAATGGCGTTTCAGAGCACCAAGATTTCAAAATTTTCTGGGGGAGCATGCCCCCAGACCCCCCTAGTGGTTGGCCCCTTCACTGCTCGCCTGATTCATCGGTGATTAAAAAACAAAAAAACACGATTTTATATGCTTAAAAACTTTGACAGTCTTTCTGTGTTATCATGATACCCTCTAAACGAAAAAATAACTAAGGTTAGATAATTAACAAGTTACATAATTAACAAGAAGCTGCAAAAAATATCTAATCAAAAGTTTAATTTTAATTGTTAAAACAACTTTGGGAAATTAAACATTTATGGGCAATGCCACCGAAAAATTCGGGAGGGTCGACGAAATTTCCGGGAGGACATAAAGTTATTCATAGGACTGCCCAAACAGCCTTTGTTAGAGTTGTCACCCCCCGTAACATGATATCGAAATTAAACTGGGTAGTGGCAAACAAATTGAGTAATTTAAAAGGGCCAATATTTTCCACTAGGTTATTTGAATTTTTCTTATGATTTCTGGCCTTTCCTGCCAGAAGCTTTGCAGTTTTCCTATCTCCACCTGCACAAACTAAACCAATAATTTAAGGCCACAAGAATTAGAGACTGGCCAATGCCCTGGGGTACTCCCTATGATGGCCTATACGGGGAGGCTCCGCCTAAAATAAAAGGGGTATCTTTTTCCATGTTGTTGGATGTTGTTGCGTGTTGTTGCCCAAAGTTTGAAACCGGTCAAACTTTTCAGCCAACAACTCCCAACATTTCTTTTGTTCCGTGATCGCCGAAGCGCAGCGCAAGAATGTTGGATCCGTTTGCACAACTCTTCCAACATTGTTGGGGCCACGCACGCTCATTATGGGTGGTTTACAAAGACTTATAATTGGTTGTATCCTTCCCACGATGCACTGCAGGTCCCAACATTGACGGGACTGTGTTGCATCCGTTTGTACACCACTGCCAACATGCACGCAACAACTCCCAACATTGCCGGCGCAACAATGTTGGTAGTTGTTGCGTCCGTTTGCACGCAGCCTAAGTCATGGTTAGCAGGCTAGCATGTATAGGTGGTTTTTATTAATCTCAGGAGACACAAGTAACAATGGTGAAATAAACAAATGCTGGTTGACAAACAAACGAGCTAATGAGCTATCTTTTGTTTGCCGTCCACAAGCATGGCGGCGATGACGTAACGTGAAAACCACCTATTTTCTAACAATTTCCGTAGTCTGAAATATGGTACGTTAACGTTAAATTGAGTAAATATTGAAGCAATGTGATAGATTTGGATAATTTTAGGCTTTGGGGTTTCCTGTTGTCTCGAGTTTAGTACAACATCAATTTCTCATGAAGTGCTCGAGAATTTACCGCGCTTGGTTGCCCTCAGTAATCTTTCCGCTGAATTACGGTTGTGTTGTAGAAAGGGAGAAAACAATAGTAAATGGATTACGGAGGGCAACCAATCACGGTAAATTCTTGCGTCCTGCAAGCTTCAATATTTGAGCCTTCGGCGTGCGGCAACTTAAAATGTTTCAATGGACACGAAAATCGCATATCAGGCATTTTATAGTACATTGATCAATTACAGAAGAACTGAATTTTTTTAAAGAAATGTATCGTTGAATTTCGGTTTAATCGCTGTTTTCGTGAAAGAAGCCTTAGAAATTACAAAGGAAGCTCAGCATTGCGTTTTACCCCGCTTCGATTCACATGTTTTCGTGTCAAGTTCGATATCGCGCAAGTCTACTTGCGTTTAGTCGATTGAAGAGTGTTTAACGGTCATTTGCAAAACGAAGGGAGATAAAACCTTTCCGGAAACACCCAAAAAGTCGCAAAATTGTCTGCATATAGTCCAGTCTTAAGTCAGTCTTTACTTTATTCCCTGTCATGGCTTATACGGGGAGGCTCAGCCCGAAAGAGGTACGTTTTTAAGGCTGCGTATGAAGGGGTAAGGATTTTACTAGTTGAAGTATATGAAAACCGCTAGAGAATTTGTCATTTCGGTCTGTAAAAAGGCCAAAAAGGGCTAACAGATGCATTTTATGGCTGTGAAGAAGTCGAGAAAACGTTCCTGGTTTTGAGGTTTATTCAAATTAAAAAGACGGTGCATTTACAACAGTTAAAGGAGATACAAAGCTCTAAACTAGGTAATGTGAAAGGGGTACCATTTGTCAACAGAAGGAATACGAAAGGGGTACCCTTTCTGTCACAAAGGTAAATAAAATGGTGAGAGGTTGGACGTCGGAGAATCCACGTATAAAACTTTGTTGAGTGCCCCCGAGATCCAGCGTCAGCAAACCATGAAGCAGAACGAAGCAAAGAGTATGAGTGACTTCCCAAGGATGTGCTTAGCTTTGAAAACAATAGCCTCCAGCGTCACGCATCGTAACATTACTACATGCAGTAGAACTCCGGTAACTCGAACTCTGAAGGAAAACGAAAAACACTTAGTTAGAGCAAGGGATTCGAGTTATCAAGATCGATTGAATATGCAATTTTCCATGTTAATAATTGATAGTTACTGATTTTTCAGCAATTCAGTGCATAGTACAGTGCAAATTTCAGGGGCACCCAAAGACGGTTTCCTCCTAAATACGTTGAAAACGCTTCTTGGCTATCCAGAGTACTTTTAGATCCCTAGAAATACATTTTAAGAAGCGCTATGAAATTTGTATCTGTTCGGTCATCCTATAGGGGGTGAACTCAAGTCTTTTCGAAATTACAAGGGCTTCAGTATCATTTTCCCGAAAATTTTAGATGCAATTTAACGTATGACAAAAAGTGAGGATTTTTCTGATTCCTCTCTCCATCACACTTTTTAATTCGAAAATTGTAGGTTTCTTTTTTTCTAAGAACTTGATTGCCTAACCTGAGGACTAGAAATCTAAAAAACTAACTGACTTCCGAAAATCAACGAAGGATGAAGGAGACTATGCCTCAGGCTTAACGTCACCGCCCAATTACGCGATCATCTGAACTGAGACAAGCTAAGGTCTAAATCGATTATAGCCAACATGATCTCATGATGAGGTTTTTTCGTAATTTCTGATAGTTGGCGGTCGAGGCGTCTCGCGAGTTTATCAAACTGTGCGCAAGGATTATTTCCTCGTAAGTATTTCCGGAGAACGGAGGGAGCCAGGGTAGTTGTACATGTTGGTACGGCTACAGGACTTTCAACCCGCGTCCTCCAAATCGGCAGACCGGCACTTTCCCAGCTGAGCTAACCGGTGGCCGGCTTTGTCTCCTTCATCCCTCTATTTTACTGACAGTACAATGATAACATTATAATAAGGTCTATAAGGAAGCTTAACCCTTGGTGTCGGCCAGCGAGTGGCGAAAAAAACCGCAT